GTTTTGTTATCTAAGAGGGGATTTCTCCCACTGGTTTCACACTCACTTTCACCTAGATCGTAAGTCCATTTTGTCCATGAGCATTAAGATTAACTTTTTTAAGTCCAATATAGATGGAAATGTAGTTGTAAATGCATGTAATACTTGTTTTTGGTTTTTTTTATTAAATTTACATGAATTGTTTATGGCCACTTTATTTACATTTTCTACTCCAATTGACAAAAATGTTTCCAAATAGATATCTCAGGATCTCCCCCCACTAAAAGGGAGGGATTAATAGACAAATTTAAGAAATCTGTAATAGCAATGAAAAGTGTTGCAGCCGATGTTACCTAGACAACAATGCAAGCATCTAAAATTTCAAACTAATATCATCAAGACACAGGCCTAAGACATATCTGTACAAGTATTTCCAGAGACACACACACACAGTACTAGCAAATGTGATGTGTGTTGCACAATGCACTTATAGAGAAACTACACAAAAATTATTTTTAAGTATTTAATAAAAATAATATTCTTAGATTTATTTCTTTTTTCATTCAATAATATTTTCATTGTTGTTTAATCTTCTACTATACCTTTTCTAATTCAATTTGTTCGAGTATTCTTGTTTTGGTAAGCTATATACTAATATATGAATTCCTAGTTTGGATTAGCATAGAAGTTCCCTTTGAGAGTTTTCTAATTAAATTTTATTTTTTAGCTTGCACTTTTTTATTCTCCATATAGGCTATTTTGCCTTTTTTTTGGGGCAATTTTATCAATGAATTTACATACCTAATCAAAGAAACTTTTAAGCAAAGAAATTTCAAGAATGTGAATTTACACACAGAGATATTTTAGGAAATTCATTGGGAAAAGTAAGAGCAGCTAGAAATTTAATAGTTTCATTCATATTTATTCTCCCTTATATATATAGCTCTACAAAAGTTTTAAGAAGTTATAAAGATCTGAGAATTTTGGGAAATGCATACTAAACATGTAAACAAAATTACTCAATGTAAGTGGAAGTATGAATATTTCTTAACACCCATCCTTAAAATATAATTTAGCTAATTACTTACCAAAGAAATTAATTAAAAAGCCATATTTTTGTCTTTTCTATTTGTTGTTTAATTTCTTTGTTGCCATCTTTTGTAAAAAACGATGCTTGTACAATGTTGTTGCTAATTGGGCTATTTTTAATTCTATTTTCTTTATTTAGTAGTTAATTTTTATTTTTATGGTCGTTGCATAATCCGCCACCTAGAAACCTATCTTAAGCATATAAAAATTAACAGAAAAAGAAAAGGAAAGTCATTGTTTAATGTTCCATCTATGTTTTTACCCTTGTTTTGAGCATATAGACAGTAATACTCAAGCTTAATTTGAGCATGCGTACAATTCCCACATCTAAAATCTTTTAGAACTGAGTTGTTTTGTAGCTTTTATGTGGTTGTGATGATTACTCCCAACGGAAATGTTTTAATCATGTTTCATAAAAAAAATAAATTATAATTTCTTTTAAACTCCATTTCATGCAATGCTTACAAGCCATATTCCAGTATGCCAAAACAAACTCTTTGTGAAATATTAATAGTTTGCTTTCTATTATACATTGCACAAGTCCATATAGTACTAGTTGACTCATCTAGTGCTCATCTCTTGTCCTTTTCTTTTTTTTGATGTTACTTTGGTTAATTTTGCCATCCATGTCATGCTAGTAAGTAATCATGGCAGTTGAAAGCAAAGTGCATATCCTTGCGAATGTGTTTGCCTGTTCAATAACAGCCCGATAAGGCTGCGTTGTATTCTTGTTTCATGATAGTTTATGTTCCCCCCAAAGCCTAGATTGCTCAAGCTACGCAAGGCTTCAATGTCCTCCCCTCATTGAATTATAATACTCATTAACACAAGGCAATTCTCATTGCTTGTTGTAAACAACAGTATAACTTATGCTTTATAATTTGTCTTAGGTTTTTGTTTTGCTAATTTTAGATTTTGGTTCTTTAAGATTATCAACGACTTACTAGGGGATTCCGTCATGGTAAAATTTATTGCTCTGAGATCACAACGCATCTAATAAATATCAAAATATGGACATAACAATGTAT